AACAAACTCCCCCTTAATTCATGCACATCAATCTTTAAAGCATTTAAGCATGATAACCATTAAGAAAAGTAATTTAAGCACAAAATGCTCCCCCTCACTTCATGCTATCAACCTTTAAAACATCAAGAATATGTAATGAATATAATCATCAATCATCATCAATATAGCACCATAGACAACAAAAGTCATGAATACAATCATCAACCAATAAACTCCCCCTCAATAAGAGCATATTATCATCAAAATCATAAACAACTATTCACAAAGCATGATAACACAAGTAATGCCATTTCCATTCATAAAACATAAAATGCATAAAAAGGTTCAAACATATCCATAGTCAAATAAAACATAAAATGCATAACCCTAAGATGTCCATCCTAAAGATTAGCCAAACTAAAGAAATATCAAGTTAGATGGCATCAGGTGGGGGTGGAGGAAAAAAATGGTTAACAAGCCGATCAAGCTTTCCTTCCACGTTAGTCATTCTCTCTCTCACTTCTATCCGGAAACCATAAAAGTCGGTGTGCAGCTGCTGCATCTCAGATATCATTAACTCCATGGTTTCACGGTTGGTTCTTTGCATGGAGACTCGAAATGGTCTTGGGCTGTCATCTTCATGTTCTTCTGCCCCTTGTTCTGCCATTTCTTGATCTGTATCACCTTCTTCTTCATCTCCTTCTTGTTCCCCTTTCTTTATCCAAGTGCCATTTCTAAACAAACAGTCCATTTTTTCAAAAGAAGCTTTGGTAAGTGTAGTCCCACCGGGAACCGTTCCGAACCCAAAGGATGTAAGATCAATGTTGTTCCTTTTCGCCAATCTGGTAATTAGAGCACCATGAGGAAGTCCTGTAGTTGGTGAGTAAGGCTTGATTATGCTCCGGAAAATGTATCTTCCTAGGTTCACCCTTTTTCCGTTAAGAAGATAATCAAACCAAGGAAGATCACTGGCAAGAACATAAGATTTAGAACCCTTCCTCTGAGCAATAATGCGAGATATAATCCACTGCAATGCTCTATTCTCTGGTGTAAGAGACCCCACTTTAATTTGATTTTCAGTGCAATTGGGGGCAATTGTGGCTCTAACTAAGGCATGATTCACATCTAGAAACTCATCATCTCCTCCTTCAGGTATATCTAATACAGCACAAATATTCCTTGGAGAAAACTGAAATGACACCCCAGCAACCATAGTTTTGCATCTATTCCCTCTTGGTTTCAAATTAGCATAAAACTGATGAACAACTTCATAGTACACATGCTCTTTAATTTCTACATAATTCTTCCACCCAAGTTCCCTAAACATTTGTTCAACATGCATATCTCCTTGAGGAAATTGACTGAATTTCACACAATTGCATGGTAAAACAGCCATATTCTTGATAATTTCATACTGTGCAGAGGCTTGGGTATCCAAAAAGAGATTTGATTGGGAGATGTTACCTTCTTCTTCTTGAGCTTGACCACCGGTGCTAGAACTACCCACTTGTCTCCTTTTACTTCCAGCCCTTCTTGAAGCCATGAGAGAGAAATCCCAACAAAAATACCAGCCACACCAAAAATACAACAGATCCCACACAAATTGAAGTGAAAAGCTTGAGGTTTTGTGTTGGGTAGGCAAGGATTTGATGGTATTTGAGTGTTTAAGGGATGGGTTTTGGAGATTTGGAGGGATTTTGGTGTTTGGGAGAGTGAATGGCGAGTTTTGGGAGAGGAAAATGGCAGATCTAGTTCGAAGAGAGAGAAGGCCGACTATTTAAAGAATCTGCAGGAAAGTCGGCTGTAAAGCGGGTCCAAGTCGGGTCGTCTGCGGTTGAGCCGGCTGGGAAACCTAGAGCCGGCTGTGGTTTAGAGAGAGAACACTCTCGGCCTTTTTGGGTTGAGCCGGCTGTGGTGTAGAGAGAGAACACTCTCGGGTTTTTGGTTGAGCCGGCTGTGAAAAAGGATGAGCCGGCTCTACTGGCCTTGATTGGGACAAACAGAAAGTTTGGGGCTATTTTGAAGGGAATGCACCTTATTTGATATTTCTTCATTTAACCAAGTTTAAATTGAACATCAATTACTAAATTATGCAACTTTAGTCATATATCAATGTATGCATCATCAAATATCATGAATATAATCAAGGTACACAAATTCTAATAATCAAATTCATTAATTTCAAAAATCATATCAAGCACTAGGATCCAACATGCCAAGCTCATTAATTTGCATAAATTTTAATAATCGCATCAAATGATATCATATTCAACAAGCATATATATCAAAGAGTGAACACATATAAACAAATCATTAATAATCATGTTGAAGTAATTATACTCAATGAATAAATGCAACAAAATAAATAATACCAATTTGAGCACATAAGTGGAGCATTCAAAAACAAATTTCCTTTGCACTTCCACTCCAACATTCTTGTTGAGGCATAAGTCCTTTTAAGATCTACTTTGCTTTCCTTAGTGA